TCTTCTTGTTTTATTTCTATGAACATTTTTTAATGTCTTTTGGTGACCATTTGGATGTATTATCATAAGGCACACGCTTAGCAGTGGAACTGCCAAGCCATAAAGTATGCAGATGCACATATAGGGAATCTAAGCTGATACATCCACTTTAAAAAACTGTTCAGTGTCAGGGAGGGTATAGGTAAGTAGTAGAATGCATGCCTAGCATGCACGAGGTCCTGGGTTCTTAGATCCATTAAGAAAATAAATAAATCTAATTACTCCCCCCCACCAAAAACTGTTCAGTGGTTTCACAAAGACTTTTAAAAAAACATTTTAAAATTAACTTCTATAATACCTACATAAATGAAGAAATATCATCTGGCCATTAAAAGCATTCCTTCTAAGGAATATATGCCAAATGAGGCAACTGATCCACTAATAGGAGTCTGTTAGTGGTTTCTTATATCTGCATGAATAAGCAGTTTTCCTACTGTGATTGTTCAAATTAAAGCCCTTTAAAGACCAAAAGTAGAAAATGAAATATTGCACATATTTTTCTAAATCAATTACATTAAAAAAAATTGAAGCCATAAAATATTCAGTAAAATTAGACATTTATATCAGGCCTATGCAGATGTTAAGCTGAAACATTAATATAATATAATAAAGTAAATTATTAACTGAATTCACTACATCAGAGAATGGAACAACATTATCAAAGCAGTATAAGACAAGAGAAAAGAGAAATTGTACCATGGAACAGAATTGAAAATCAAGAAACTTGTAGTAATCATTTAAGCCCCAATAAAAAGTATGTAAATATATAGCAGAATTCAAACTAGAGAAAAAACACTAACCTAATTCTTTGTGCACTACAGAAATCAAAAGATCCGCCCAGATGGAAGAGCAATGCCATTATCAAATGTTAATATTTCAGCTTAACTTCACTTATCTTACTCAGTTTCCTTTATATATAACATAACAGTTCAACAACATTTAACTGTAAACTGAAAATAAAGTAATCACCACTATGTTCCCAGAATCAAGAGGAGAGTATTATTATTCCTTTGTTTCTGTTGGAGGGCATCTAATCCATAATGCCAAAATGTGCCAGGAGAAGCATAACAGAGTGATAAAATATAAACTCTGTGAGGGAATATTTAAACCTAATGTAAAAACCACAATTACTAAAAACTAGGGTGATAATGGTACATTAAGTGCTAAGAAACCCCACAAATAGTCAATAAGAATACACAAAATGAACTTTGATTTCTTAATAAAAAATTTTAAATTCCTATTTACCTGTTGTTTCCTAAATTTTCAAGGCAACCTTCAATGAATCTCATTCGAATTTGTCTATCTGTAAACCAACATACTAAGGAACAAAGAAGTTTTTCTGCTTCATTTATTAATCCTTCAGAAAGATTAACCTGCAAAAAATGTATATACATAAAGTTACTGTTTATACTGATTGTATTTTGCTGTAATTTGGTAATCTTTTGGTTCTATTAAATAACTTACTGCATCATCATCCTGGACTATGTCCCACAACAAAGTGTTTCCTTTCTTGCAAACATTATCCAAATTAATGTCTGTCACAGCATTACTGTTGAATTGATGTTTATGAACTGCAGGTCCTGAAGGGGCAAAATATAACACACTATAGAGGAATGCAGCTGACTGAAATTGTAAAGTGAATTATAGCATTCATAAAGTTAACAAATTCAAAGTAAACTGTAACGATAAACTCTTCTTATATCACAAGACAAAAACAAGATTAACACAATAGTTGCTTTATGAATGGCAAAGAATAGTATTGTTTAGAGTTTGATATTACTAAAGTGAAAAAAGTTTTCTTTTCATAGCCTCTTCACTATTTCTTCTAAGTATAAGTTTTTCACATATCAAGAGAATTGTATATAAATACTTGAAATTCAAATGAAGCATAAAAAAGATGATTTATTTGAAATAATTATATAGCCAAGGTCATTCCTCTAAATGACCTCCTATAAAGTGTCTTGTACCTAAAGGTTTTTTTGAGATGATTTACTCAAAACATCCAATTAAATTCAAAGATTTTATTATAATAAGTTATATTTTAAGTGCCAAACTATAGATCCTCACTAGGGCTGTTATATTAAGCAAAAATGCTTCTTTGCTTTGTGTGGTTTTTTTTTTTTCTTAACAGTTTTACCATGAAATTTCTCTATTAAATTGTACACATACATTGATTTCATTAGAATGAGAGTTGTGTAGCCGTCACAATACAATTTTGGAACACTTTTATTACCCTAAAACATTCCCTCATACCTAATTACATTTAATCTCTGATCCCATTCCCCAGCCCTAGTCTGTTTTTCCATCCTCATAAATCGGCCATTCTAGAAATTTCATGGAAGTGGAACCATACATTTTTATAGTCTTATGTCTGACTTCGTTCACTTAGCAAAATGTTTTGAGGGTCATCCATGTTGAAGTACCTATCAGTATGCGTTCCTTTTAATTACAGAATATTGCATTATGTGAAAATGTTGCATTTGTTTATATATCTACCAGTTAATGAAAATTTGGAGAGTTGCCAGTTTTTGTCTAATATGAATAATGCTGCCACAAATACTGATGCAATAAATCTTTGTACAGACACATATTTTCCTTTCTCTTGGGTAAATACTTAAAAGTGGAATTGTTGGGTCATAAAGTAAACTTAAGCTTAACACTTGAAGAAACTGCCGAACTGTTTTCCAAAGTGGCTATGTCAATTACATTCCCAACAGCAGTGTGTAAGAGCACCAGTTCCTCCAAATCCTCCCCAACACATACAATCACTCTTTTAACTTTAGCCATTCTAATTGGTGTGCAGTAGAATCTTGTAGTTTTTAATTTGTATTTCCCTAATGACTGATGATGCTGAGCATCTTTTCATGTGCTTATTAGCCATTTGTGTACCTTCTCTGGTAAAATAAATCAATTTCCAATTTTTAATTAAGTTGTCTTACTAGATAGATGATTTGCAAATATTTCTCCCAATATGTGGTGGCTTCACTTGTTAAGATTCGGGGGGGGTGTGTCAAATTTTAATAAAATTAATTTTTTAAAGTAAATACATAATAAAGATACAGAACATTTCTATCACCCCAAAAAGTTCGCTTGTGTTCCTTTACAATGAATCCCCACCACCAGTCATTGAGATTTCCACTTCTATAAGTTACTTTAGAATATTCTAGAAGTGCACAATGATATACACTATGTACTCTTCTCTCTAGCTTCATCTGCTTAGAATGTTTCTTGATATTCATCCATGGTGTTGAAAAGTATCAGTACAGTAGTTCTTTTCTTTTTATTGATGAACAGTACTCCATTATGTGAATATACCACAATTTGTTTATCTGTCAATTAATTCCAGTTGAGGCTCATGAATGAAGTAGGTGTTAACATTCAAGTACAAATCTGTGGACATAATTTTCCATTTCTCTTGGGTAAATATCTGGAACAGGAATTTCTGGGTCTTATGGTGGGTACATATTTAAGTTTATAAGAAACTGATAAAATAGTTCTCTAAACTGGCTGTCTTATTTTATACTCCTCAACAGCAAAGGAGAGTTCTAGTTGCTCTACATCCTTAGCATCATTTGATATCATTAGTCCTTAATTTTTTTACCCATCCCAAGTGAGTAAAGTATCTCACTGTGGTTTAATTTTGCATTTCCCAGATGACTAAAGACATTGAGTATCTTTTCATGTAATTACTGACCATTTTTATATCTTTATGAATTAACCAAATTATTCACATCTTTTGCCCACTTATAAACTGTCTTACTGTTTTCAAAAAGTTCTTTATAGTATTAAATATATAGCGATATGTCTATAAGATTTGGAAAACATTAATACGTTTAATATATTGCTCAATTTCTAACTTCATATAGCAAAAAAATATGTACAATACTGAACAAAGGGAAAACGGGGTAAGAACAGAATGGTAAAAGTTTAATAAATATAGTATCAAATTCAACTGATCTTAATCTTAATCTATTCATTTCTCAACAACCACAGTAATACAACAACAAAAACATCAAAATAACCTTATCTAGATTATAGACAAGAAACATCTGAAATCAAAAAGTTGATGCCAAGATCCACATTGCATCTTCAAGTCTGATCATAGCCTTATAGCATAAACATAATCTATCAGGTTTACTTTGTTTGTAATTTACTGGCATCCCAAAACCCACTTCCTAGGTTGGCAAATGCTGATGATATGTAACCAAGCAAGAGTCTGGAATATGAACCTTTAAATTGCCAATTCTAAAACTATTTTTCCCCTCTTATTTTTTCTCCTTTATCTTTTATTATTCTTTAGCCCTCTCTAACCTCCATTCTTCCAAGATTGGTCATGTCCTATCACTTTTTTTTAGATGGATTTACAGTGATCAGAACCTTTTTGAAAAAAAAAAATTTTCATCAACTCCAGACAAAACGAACACCTTACCCTTTAGCAGTAACCCCCTCCTCTTATTTCCCCCCAACACTTCCTAGCCCCAGTCAAACACTAATCTACGTTCTGTATCTACAGATTTGCCTTAATCATTTTATATAAATGGAATCATAAAGTATGTGATCCTGTGTAATCTACTTTTAAGTCCTAAGATTTCTGAGCATAAAATCTAACACAGTCATATTTTCTCAAATACAAAGCTGTAACTTTTATACATATTACTAATTTTATTTCCTTTGTTACATATCTCTTGGTGGAACTGTAGCCTTCATACTCATGATAATAGTATTCATAATAATTTCATTCCCTTGAGAAGAAAACTACAGTATGAAAACACTAAAATGTCGTAACATTAACTGTTGATTCCTTTTAATAATATAATAAAAATTATCCCTATTTTAAATAAAAGAATATATTTTACTTACTACAGAACCTTACCTTGACTAAGGTGTTCATGGTAAATAGATGCTAAATTGGGAAGATGTTGTTGGAGATGAGATGTTAGCTCTGCATGCGAATTAATCTGAACTAGCTCCTCTTCACATCCAGATTCTTCACCATCAAAATCAGCCATATTTTTTTCTGATTTTGCACTGACCTGGGAGCTACTGCAACTGACATCATCTGCACTTAGCATATCATCAACCATATGTCTGTAACAGAGAAGCACATAGTTAGTAATTACCAATTTAAAAACACTTTTGTGAATCACAAAAAAATCTCTCAAACCATTTGGCAGAAGTTAACGACACACTCAAGAACAAAGCTACATTTGTTTAATATGGAATATTGACAGCTTTATAATAATGAAAAACTCCACAATGTCAGCATTATTGTATTAACTTTACAAATATATTGACATATTATCTGACCCATCAATACACTTATTAAAATAACTTCGAAGACAACAATTTTAGGGAAAATCAGTAAAATTACTGTTATGTAATTATTTTATAAACTCAAATCACAAAGTAAAACCTTAAAATTTGTTTACATTTGTTCATACAATTGCAGAATCAAATGAGGTAACTATCAGGAAAATATTTCAATTTAAAGCTGCAATCTAGATGTGGTTAATGTTAACTGGGGGACTCTGAACTAAATAAATACCTATTAAGCACTCACTTCTAAAACATACCATATAGGGTGCTCTAAGGATGTAAAGACATAAGGATGAAAAATAATATGAAGAAGAAAATTTCAGGATTGATTTAGAGACTCACAAGTAGTACCATACACAGAGAATACGGAAAGGGCTAACATTAAAAAAAATCATTAGGTCTTCTAAGGTAGAGGATTGGTGTGAAGACTCAAAGAACTGCAATGTGCCAAACTGAATATATTACCCTCCTCAGTTTTATGCTTTGTCTTCGGTATGAGCTGCCTTGGGGAGAACTCTGAATGTACATATTTGTACTGTCAGACCATAAACCAGTGGTTCTTGATCAGAAGGCCAAAGGGACATTCAGCAATGTCTAGAGGTACTTTTAGGTTATCACAACTTAGAAGATACCTCTGGCATCTAGGGCTAGAGGCTAGGGATGCTGCTAAACATTCATCCTACAATGCACAGAGCAGTATTCACATTGCTGCAAATCCACAATACACAGTTACCTGGCCTAAAATGTCAATAATGCCAAGATTGAGAAAGTTTACCTTAAATTCATAGGGTTAATGTTAAGAATAAAAAGGTAGAAGAAATAAAGTAGGAATATGTATAGGTATGTACTTCTCCCAGATAACCATACTGAATTCTGAAAGGCCTGGCAAATAGTCACGTCTAAGAAAATTCATCCTGATAAACCAATATTCTTATTTCATGATTAACTCAAGTATTACTACTTGCAATGACAGTAACAGTAAGTAGCAGCTAATATTTATTAAGCTATTATATGCCAATCAGATTAGCCCATGACATGCTCACAATAAACCTATGAGATAGGTACTACTTTTCCTACTTAAGATGAGAAAATGATGGGGGAAAAATTGAGTTTTCTTCCAATATTGTAACACAAGTAAATGACAGAATCACTTAAACATCACAGGTATATTTCACAGATAATCAAAAAGCTTTATGCTGAGGCTTTAACCTTACTAATACTCTAAAATCAGAGTATAAATAAAATTTCCCTTTTCATGATCACACTTTAATGGAAGTTTTCAGAAGCAATTTTCTATCTACCTTCAGGCAATTATTACAAGGATTTGAAGATCTAGATCTGTGCTGTACAATGTAATAGCCACTTGCCACCTGTGGCCACTGCACATGTACAAAGTGGTTGGTCTAAATAAATATGTGTTGTAAGTATAAAATATACACAGGTTATTAAAGAATTGGTTCAAAAATAGAAAAATATTTTATTAATAATGTTTACATTGATTACATGTGGAGCTGATATTGTGGACATTACTGCTTTAAATAAAATGTATAACTAAAATTAATCTCCTATTTCATTTTGCTTTCTAAAATGTGCCCACTAGAAAATGAAAAATTACATAATTTGTGGCATGCATTTGTAGCTTACATTATATTCCTATTAGACAGGACTGATCTAGTTGAATAAATAGGCTATAATTACCTCCAAAAGGAAATATAACCTGTTTATTCTTAAGGAGACTTACCCATCATGGTGGTGATGATGGTGGTGGTGGTGGTGGTGATGCTGTGGACCAATAAACTGCCGACAATTAAATAATTCATTCCCAATAGTCTCCCCAAGAAAGTCCCCAGTGCGTGTAATACAAGATTCCTGAGATGCTTGTGCTATATGAGCAGCATTCATTTCCCCTGAAATATCATGTTCTGGGTCTTCAGAGTGTGAACAGGCATCTAGCATTCTTATTCGATTATCTACCGATGGCAATGACTCAGTGTTAAAAACCAGGTCCTTTCCTGTTCCATTGTTTGTCCCACTTCTTTCTGATGGACCTTGAGAATCCCCTAAGCAAATGCCTGCTTGACTTTCCAACTTCCTGTTCCGAAGATCTGTACCACAACTGCTTTTAGGAGGATTATGACCATGATCATCATCTTCGTCTTCTTCTTTAAGGGCTTCAATATCTGCAATGTCTTCTGACTGTACCTCACTGCCAGGGCTCCCTGCTGACTGGCTTGCATGGCTAGAATTCACTTCATTGCTAGATCCATCACTATGTCCACTACTGCTACCAGGACCACTGCTTCCATCTTCACCACTGTTGGCAGTTTCGTCAGAACTTCCCTGCATGGATTCCTGTATTGAGAAACAAAGAGATTTAAATAAATATTTAAAACTAGTAAGAAAAAAAGTAAATGACATTAACACACTGTAGTTTTTTTAAAAGGCTGCAACTGTCTTATTTCTTCGAACAATACAAAATGGAATTAAAAACTTAAAGAAAAGTAAAGAACCTCAGTAATACTAAAAAGAGAAGCCTTAACAGGGATCAGGTTTATATTCCCAGTTCAAAGGATAAGCATGGCACAAACCTGAAAATCAAAAACTCTCTTTAAAAGGGGAGGAAAATCTGTTTTCATACCTCTGTATCTGAAAGTCGCTGTTGTACATGTTTCGTTCTATTAATAAGTTGCTCATCCATTTCAATGTCACTGCCTCCACTTTGATGGGTATCACTGTTATCACTGCTTTGAGGACTGGCTGCAGGTGACCCTATATTAAAAAGATTTTGTTATTTCTCATTTGCATTAACATGGATCTATCAAAATGCCATTATCTTTCGATTCTGTGATATACCAAAGCTCTATGCTAAGTAGCCAAAAAATATAATCCGGAAATATGTTAACATCTGCCAATCATTTCTAAAGAGGATATACATGATTTTAATTAAAAGCCAAGACATTAATGATTTAAACAAAAAGGGTAAGATAGATAACTAGTTAAGGGTTTACATCTCCTGCTCAAAATGAACTCTATGACTCTGAAACAAATATATTATATAAAATCAACCTCAGATGATCATCAAAATAAAACTACAAGTCATCTTGCCATACATTTCTAAGACTCAACTTACAAGGTGATGGTGCAGCTCTTCTGAGCTCTTCTTCCTCTGAAGGAAAAGGAAAAAAAAAACAGGAGGAAAATATTCTAAGTGAATGAATTTCTTTGGGACAACACATTAGTTGTTCTTATTATATAATCAACAAGACACAAATAGGGAAACCTGCAATAATTAAGTCCCCACCACTTTCCACACTGGTTGTGGGTGCCCACATAGAAAAGCCTAATAGTAGTATACAATGTCAGGAGGCCAAAACAGGAGTAAAACTGATAAAATGTTAGAAAGCCTGGGAAAGCTATACACGTAAAAGTACACATAAAACACTGAAATGATAGAAAACTTTGAAGTAGAAAACACAGAGAAATGTATCATTATGTTCTACTCTCAAAATTATTTCTAGAACGAAGCATATTGCTTGTTTGTTTTCTAACCAAAAGCTCTGAAGCTTTTATGAAATAGTTGGGTTTTTTTTTTTAAAGTGAACAACCATAATGAGAGGGAAGATCCATTAACTACTAAAATTTTATCACTGTTCTTTACTTGAATAGTAAGCCCAAAATATGAGCCAATCCCAATTTATTAACCTTTTCACAAAACCATCAACTCCCATTCAAACTTATTTCAAAATTAAGACTGAAGTGAAACTAATTTGCAAAAATGAATTCAAATTTGTGTTCTAAACTTTGGACAACTTACAAATTACTTTATACTTCAAATTACATTATACTTTACTAACCTTTCTTATTTCCAATGGGAAGATTAGTGTTTAATAAAGATGCAAATGAACTCTGTTTAGATAGCTGGGCCTTAGCAGCTAGTGCATTATTCCATAATGCTTTAATTAACATCGATGCCAAATACAATGTCTTAAAAAAAAAAAAAAAGATTAAAATCACAGGTTTTAGGAAACATTGTAACAAATTTAATATCCTTTTGCCCAACTGAAATGCCAACAGAAATAAACAAGTTAAATCATCTGAATCACAAATAAATTTTCACTTTACAAAAAAAAAAAAAATCCCATTGTATTTTGAATGAATTACCTGTTCAGTATGAACACTTGGCTCAAGAGCAGAGACCAGATTAAGAAGATGTCTAAGTGGTAATGGATCCAAATTCTTGATGAGTGAAGGAAATAAGTCATGAATATACCGACTACAATGTTTCAACTAGAAAAAAAAGTAGAGACAATAATCAAAAAGAATTACACTACATAAATAAATAAACTGATACCAAAAAAGTTATATAAGTTTAAAAGTGAAGAAGGAGGCTGGGACACTAATTTTTAAAAACACCTTGCTAAAATGTCAATAAACCAAATATCATGAATCACAGTACATAAAACCATGAAAATAAAATTCCTACTTAAGCAGAACTTCAGCTTATCCAAGCAAACCATAAACTTAAATTTTTAACCACAAGACGCCAAGTGCACAATACATACAGTTTCTGGAATTCAAGTATAAAAACAATTCCAATTAAATTTAGATACCTATTATTCATAAAAAACAAATTAAATAGTAAATTAAGATGTATGCAATTAAAAATAAAATACAGTTAGGAAAGAAAATCAAATTAAATATTAATCAAATATACAGTGGATCCTTGAACAATGCAGGTTTTAACTGTGTGGATCCACATATATGCAGATTTTTTTCACCAAGTATGTACTATAGTAGCACATGATCCACGGATATGGAACTATGGATACAGAAGACTGACTGTAAAGTTACATGCTGATTTTTGACTGTATAGAGGGTGGTGCCATAACCCCCACATTGTTCAAGGGTCAATCGTATTTCTCATAGTAAGCGGTTATATTTATATAACATGTTCATTTTACTAGAATACACAACAGGAACTCCCTTTATAATCAAGATCTTCATAATATAAGCCAGGAGATAGAAAGTCTCCTTTGTTATACGAAACAGAATTATGTAAATATGAGGGAAAGTATAATATTTACAAAAATGTGACCTCTAAATATTACAATGTCATGTAAAATAACTATCTTTTATAGCCATAAAGTTGCTAATAGCTAAATTAAGATCCAGCAACAAATGCGACTAGGCCAGAAATAACCAATTACAGGACTCCAAAGGTAAAAGGTATTCTACTTTTCTTGAATACATAAAAAGTCTTTAAGAAAACACAAATTTTTCTATTCTAAAACACTAACTTTTACATTTTTCAGGTGTATATCACATGAACTCTCTGCTACTGCATCCCCTTATCAGGGTAAATATACATAATTTAATTTTGAAACAGAAGGTGAAATAAAATAACACTGGAAAAGTTCCTCTAGGTCAGGGCGACTTCTAATAAACTACAATTCCCTTCAATGCTACTATTTAATTCAACACTACTGTTTAAACCAATTGCAGTACTTCAAGACCAAAAACATTATTTGACTTTGAGAAGTGAATCATCAATTATAAGTGCTGGTTTTACAGATCTTATCTAAGAATATTACTATTAATTTAAATATAATGTTAACACTATAATTGGACTATATTAACAATTTATAATTGCTTTTTTGCCAACAAATAACTATTAATTTTACACTTTTCCTTATTAAAATGTGATAAAAACATACTATGTGATACATTTCTGATGTGTGCCAATTCAATTATTAATAAAATGGGACTTTAATAGACATAATTTTCATAATCAAATACCTTACTGGTTATTTTTAAGTAATAAGACCCTTAAGAGATAACTATGTAATCTGGTAACTGAGGCAAAAGATACACTAGGCACTTTTCAAGACACACACTATGAAGACAAATCCAAAAAGTCAGGAAAAAATATTAAGATTGATGGCTTGAGTTCCTGGTAAAAATAGCATGTGTAGTTGGTTCAGACTCTTCTTCACTAGTTATTGAAAAGAAAAGAGAGGAAAAGGATGTCAAAAAAGATGGCAGAGCAGGAAATGCCTGGAATCCACCTCTATACCTAGACAGCAACTGTAATGGCAGAAACTGTCTGATGTAACTATTCTGAAACTCTATAGAGTAGCTGTTTTGAACTCCTGCACTCCCAACAGAAGGCCTGAATGGTAAATATTGGCCAATTTCAGTGTGAAGCCTTCAGTGTGATAGCAGCTATTCATCCCCCACTCCCTGTCCCTATGGCAGGCAGCTGAGGGGACACTAATATGACTCTAGTATAGTTTGGAGCCATGGGTGGGCAATAATAATCTTGTTCTCCAAATAGCAAACCTCTGTGTTCCGATCTCAATTTCTACCTCTAATGGCTGAGATGCAGGCACAGAGATTAACTGTCACTGTTTCAACCCAAATCAGCTAGTGACTATTGGGGGAATTAAAGGAGGCACACTACAGTTTTTCTGGATGCTCAATAAAAATTGTATGTATATAATAATTTAGAGAAGCACTACACATTCTCAGGGGAAGTCAGAGGCTAAGAAAAACCTGAGGAGACCATAAGCATTCGCATTATATTAATCCCTAGCACAAAAACACTTATAACTATCAAAGAAAGAATAAACTGAGAAAGGAAGAGAATCTCATTTCCAGAGTCAGCACATTATAAAATTCAGATGCTGTTTTAACCCCATCCCCCAAAAGGAAAGAAAAGCAACAGAAAATATAAAAATATAAAAATGTGGTCCGTTCAAATGAATATAATAAATCAACACAAATGTACCCAAGGAAGCTCACCCATTGGAACTGCTTGACAAAGATCGTAATACATCTACCTTTACAGACATTCAAAGAGCTAAAGGAAGAAAAAAACGGACAGGAAAACAATGCCTGAACAAAATAAGTACAGCATTAAAAAAAAAAAACAGAAATAAAAGGATATTATCTATCCATTCAACTTGGCAATGACTTCATTGATATAACATCAAAAACAGAGGCCAGAAAAGAAAAAAATGATAAATCAGACTTCATCAAAATTAAGACCTTAGTGCATCTTAAGGATACTTTCAAGAAAGGAAAAGACAACTTACAGAGTTGGAGAAAACGTATGCAAATACCATACCTGATGAGACTATTTTCTAGAATATATAAAGTACTTCTAAAATGTAACAACAACAACAAAAAATCCACAAACACAATTCAAAAATAGGCAAAGGACTTGAATGAACATTTCTCCAAAGAAGATATACAAATAGCCAATAAGTACATGAAAGGCTGCTCAACATCGTTGTTCAGAAATGCAAATAAATGCAAATTACAACCACAGTTAGATACCACTTCACACCTAGTAGGATGGCTAAAAATTTTTTTTAAAAGACAAATAACAATTGTTGGCAAGGATGTGGAGAAATTAGAACCTGCTTGTATTGCTGATGGGATGTACAATATGCAGTCGCTGTGGAAAAATTTAGTGACTTTCTGTACAGGTTAAACCTCAAATTACCAAATGAGCCAGGAGTATCTACCCCTAGGTATATTTATAGAAGAATTGAAAACAGAGACTCAAACATATACCTGTACACCCATGTTCACAGATGTGTTATATGTAAGAAATAGTGACAAGATGGAATCAACTCAAATGTCTACTGATGAATCAATGCATAAACTAGACGTAGTGTATACCTACAATTGAATATTATTCAGCCATAACATAAAAAGAAAATTTTTATGTATGCTATAATGTGGTTGGACCTTGAAAAAACTGTATTTAGTAAAATAAGCCAAACATAGTATGATTTCATTAAATGAGGTACCTAGAATAGGCAAATTCATAGAGACACAAAGTAGAAGAGAGGAAATCAACAGTCCCCTGGAAGGGGGGTGGTGGAGGTTATTATTGTATAGAAAACAGGTACAGTGTTTTTTGGGAGGATGATATCAAAGTTTTGGACACAGGTAAGTGATGATTAAAAACACTGTGAACGTATTTAATGCCACAGAACTTGTACACTTACAAATGGTTAAAATGGTAAATTACATGTTATATATATTTGTACCACAATAAAGTAATTTTAATAAAGAAAAGAAGAACATGTTAAAAGCCATCAACCAAAAACTCAAAGCAAGTTTTAAAAAAAAAATCCTCGTGGGGTTAATGAAACCTGAAAAACAACATGAGAGAAAAATTCATCCGATAAAAAAGGATGGGCTATATATTAGATATGTATCTTTGTAAAATATTAAATATACAAGCTCTTTGTTCAGAAAACAATCGAATACTATCCATGCCTATTACACAGTTCTGATGGAAAACAAGAATGGCTCTAGTATCTCACTTTTGGTCAAACTCTTCAAGCACAAAGAAAACAGACATTTCAAGTGTACAGTAACCCAGAATATCCACAAATTTCTCTTTAGGGATGTTGGAGGATATAATCGAGAGGACATGACTGCCAGTTGACCTGTGAGCTGAAACTGGGTAACCAGAGGCTCCTCACTGCCCCCCTGTCGCTGGAACATACATTCTGCCTGCTGTTCCCACGGTGGGAGCTATTCCAAGGACATAACCTTGAGAGAGAGAGTAAGGTGTTGTTGAAACCACCTACACGGTATACATGCCTGAACCCAGTTAAGGCCTCTCTAACAAGATTTGGCAAGAGGGTGTAGAGATCTACTCATCTTGCAGCCACTGAAGACAAGCCTCCAAAGTTCCCCTGCTTATTTAACCTGTACCTCCCAATTTGGAGCACTTTCTGTCTCTTCAGCCTCTCCCTCACCTCTGTGTATAAGGCCAGTTTACAAACCAATAAGGGAAAATGAAAGGCTACTCTGTAAAATTCACAAGAATAAACACAAATTAACTCTGGAATAAGGAAAAAGGAAAGAGAAAACCAGAAGTGAGGAAAAAGAATTTGTGGTGAATCATATACCTAAATACAAAATTAATACTAAACAATTGTGGAAAGTATGGTTATACTGTAGAACTTAAAAGTTGTATAATATGATAAAACACAAATAACATAATAAAAACTGCAAAGTGAGTAAGAGAAAAATGTTGAAAATTTCCTCATCTTCCATAGAAGAGAATCAATCATTACTGCATTTCAGAAGGAATAGAAACAAACCTATAAAGAAAATGAGAATCAGTAATAGATGTGAAATTTCAACAGATTTCTGATTGACTAAAATGAATGGGAATATATTTTGAAAAGTACAGATAAGGAAAGCTGCAGCGAGTGAGCTGCAGAAGAGATAGGTCTATCTTCCTAATGTAACTGGAAAAAATTCTAAACCCAGAGTACCAGGTTGGATGGACAGCAGGAGTGAGACATGGACATGAAATCCTGTTTTCCCATTCCCTCCTCTGTTCCCCATTCCCAGGAGTCCATTTGAGAGCTCTAATGGAAAAATATTTTCACAACATCCAACAATATCTAGACCACCTACCAGTCGTCTTTCTTAAATATGAGCAGATAGCAAAGGCATATGGAAAGACCCAACAACATAAAAGAATACAGTAAAGACAAGAGGTTTAAATATATAATACAAGAAGAAATCATCATTCATATTAACAGCTCCTAAAAAGGCAGGAAGGAACAGAATCCAAATCGTAAGATGTAACATAGAAGAGGATACTGCAGTGGCTAGATTATACTTGAGGTACAATCATAATTTCACATGGTTAACAGTATGCAATGTCTCATAAAGTAGTAATTTAAATGTGTACAAATAAATATACATGCAGAAGCTAATAATCACTAGAGTAAAAATCAGCATTTCTAAAATTGGTCATCACCTAATCCTTTTGAGAATCTGGGGAAAAATGGACCAGTTCCCTCAAAATGTACGTAACGCACATTTGAGAGTCATGATATTTAAGTCCCTTCTAAATCCTAGGGAATTTTACTTGTCACTGGGACATGAAAATCTATCCCCAAAAAAGCCATTAGCTGCATTCTAAGATAAAATTATTATCTCAAGAAGCTACAGAAATTTATAGAAAAGTTAAATTCAAGTATGGAAAGCATTTAACAACAAATTCCTGTAGAGTGGAAAGATTCTGAAGTTTATTTTTTTGTCATATGACTAAAAAGTTTTATGGTGACAGGGTATAAAGAGGGAGATGTAGAGAGATAATCAAGCCAGAATAATAAGTAACTTTAAATGGTAAAGTCACTGAAATGTAAAAATGTCTACTGAAATTTATATAGTAGTTTTTATACTTACTGAAAAATTAATAAACATGTTAAATATTCAAAGCTTACATAAATGTAGACAATAAAAAAAAGTTTCCCACCTATCTCAAGCCACTTCCCCAAAAGCAAACCTGTTAAAATTTCTTGTGTATTTTTCCAAAATAGTTCCAGACATTCACAAGTACAAAGAATATATATGTATGTGCATCCTCTTTTTGTAAATGTTTAAGTATCCAGTGGGAGAATACACTGTGTACTTGGTTTCTCTTAATAAAAAATCTATTACCTATGCAGTGTTTACTAAAAATATTTCTTGGAGGTTGTTCCACATGAACATGTAAATACAGCAATTTCAGTCCTTCTCATGGCCACAGAATACTCTATGATATGGACTTCTCAAAATTATTATCCAGCTAGTTATTTAACTAATCCTATGGTGACAGACATTCGTGATCTGCTAGTGTAGTCAATGATATACCAAACATCTTCATGTACCTGTATTTAGAAGATAAATCACCAGAAAGAGACCTATATTGTTTTTCCAAAGTTCTACCACACTGTTCAATAGATGGCATGGTTAAACATAAAGGGAATTACCCTATATATGAAAATGCTATTATGTTAGTTAAACTTACACTGAATTATAAACAAAGACAAGCATTTTTCCAATATTTATAGACCACTGAACTTCTTTTCAATTTCCCATTTGTCACCTTTGTCAATTTTCTCTTTGGATTCGGATATAAGAGTTGGGATACAATCAATGAAATGAACAGCAACCAATCCAGTTATTACTGGGTGAAGTATGTGTATATGTGTGTGGGTGTCAGGTGAGCAAAGTGACTGCAAAAACTTACTCCAGAGGAAAGGAAAAAAAGACTCAAATAAGACTCTATATGAAACCAACTTACCCCAGACAGTGTGAAATCAGTTATAGTTGGTGCTCCAATTAAAAGAACTCAAAATTTAGAAATTCCTGATCATTCTAAATTTGTGGTACATTCAAAAGTAAAGCTGTAACAAACCACAGAAACTTCCAACTAAAATAACCTTTAAAATATACTTATTTATTTTCTCTTGTCAAACTCTCTTTTATAGATATTTCAAGTTATTTCAAACAGTATCACAGATATGGCCACAATTTTTAAATCACTCCCTTATTAGGTTACTTCAAATTTTTGCTAGGGTAAATGCTAATAGTTTTAACACACCATTATTATCAATTGTAAATCTGAACAATTTCAGTTTCAATAAATAATGCTTCACTATTCTTAGTTATTTATCCTTTATTACTTAACTATCATTGTTCTCATATTTGGCTTGTCTTGCCATGAAAAAAATAATAAAAACTCAACTAAAGTAACATTTTCTGAAAGTATGAAAAGAAAATTTCACTTTACTCTGAAATAGGAACTGCCTCTTTGTTAAAATGATAGTGATGTATAAACAGATAATATTAAGTATAAAAAAACCGTTTTGAAAAATTACAACCAATAAGGTCTCAAGGCACATAATTATTAACAATCAGAAATTTTAAAATGATTAAATATATAAAATGTTTACATATATATGCCATGACAATTAAATATAGTAGAAGAAATAACGATATAATGAATGAAAGCAAGTATAGTGGGAGAAATAAGTATTTTAATAGCAAGAATAAATAAAATTAAATTATTAAGAATAAGCTTAACATGAAATAAAATCTATATACAAGTAACTTTGAAATGCTGAATGATACAAAGGAAAAGAAACAACATATGCTTTGAATAAGAAGACAGAACTTCAACTCTCATATTAAACATTCTAACAATAAAAGCAACAATAAAAACAACAATATTTTTAAAGACTAGTCAATGCTAAAAATCAAATGGAAAAAATGAGACAAAGGTTTAAAAAAAAAAAAAACATTAGGAGAAAGGATCAGCCTTGCCCAATACTAAAAAATACAAGGGGAAAAGAGAAAAGATACTAATTAGTATAAAACCAGGGATCAGCAAATGTTTTCTTGATGGGCCAGACAGTAAACAGTTTAGAATTACAGGTGATCACGTCTCTGTTACAAGTACTGTACTCTGCCACTGAAATATAGAAACAGCCTTAGACAATATGAAAAAGAATGGGTAAGGCTATGTTACAAAAAAGCTATTTACAAAATTACATGGCCAGCCCACAGGTCATACGTTTACCAACCCCTAGTATATAGATCATGACTAGATATACCAAAAGGTCAGACTACAAGTCCAGAAATTGACCCAGTCTAGATAAAACTGCTATCTCAAATCAGTGAAGAAAAGAGTTACTGAACAAATGGAATATGGACAACTACATAACCAAAACAATGGGCGGGGGATGGGGGGAACTGTCATACATGACACCCTGAACCATGATAAACTCCAACTGGATCAAAGATTAATACATAAAACTAAAACAAAATGTACAGGAATAATTAAAGGGGAATTTTCTTATAATCTTGAAACAAAGAAGGCATTTCAAACCATAACACAAAAGCCACAGGCCATAAAAATTTGAACCACAAGGTCAAAATCACAAACTTGAAAATGAACTGCAAAAGCCACATTAAGCAAAGACATCAAAGTAGAATGTAGTCATAACCCATAACAGACAGAAGTCCAATGTGATATAAAGATCTCCTACCAAAAAAAAAAAAAAACAAAACCACAAATAAAGCAACTGATAAATGGCAAAGAATATAAACAGACATTCCCAGAATAGGAAACAAAAATAGCTCAAACACAAGATTTTCAATCTGATTCACATAAAATAAATCCAAATTTAAAACATCAGTATCATCACTTTTCACCCATCAGTTTAGCAAATATCAAGAAACTTACTGAGGAGGATAAGGTGAAAGTGGTGCTATCACGCCATTAGTTACCACAAATTAACCACACATAAGCTTTGACCTAACAATTCTATTTATAAGTAGGAATTTATCCTACGTAATAGTTTTGAACATGATGAAATCACTATGGTATAAGTTACTCACTGAAGCACTGTTTATAATGGAAAGGACTCAGAAAAAATAATGCCAAAGAACAGGAATTGGTTAAATTAATTATGGTACGTGCATATAATGAAGCACTATGCAACCCCCCCAAAAAAAAGTTCTAAAAAAAAAAAAGTGTTTTATATATTCACATGGAATAATAATCACCAGGGTAAATTGTTTAGTGAAAAAAAGCCAAGTCTGTTTTAGTTTGAGACATTTGTGGAAAAAAAGAGGACAAGAAAAGAAAAATGTTTACAATTAGTGATTTATTTAGAAATCTATGATGCACCCGAGAGGTTAATGCTGAATGCATGGGAGACAAAGGCAGGAAGCAGGAAATTTATCTTTTCAACATTTAAATCATATGGATAAATGCCTATTCAAAAAATTAAATTAAAAAAGAAAATAGTTTAACAGAAAAGAAACATACCAATACAACACTCAGGATAAAAACACTCACTGTATAAATGAAAATTAACAGGGAAATGTCTCTTAATAAACCAAGAACTTCTAATTGTCTGACTCTCATTTCCCTCAATTGTACCAGTAATATAGTAAGACATGGACTCTGAAGTCAGACTTCATAGATTCCATTCCCAACTTTATCCAAATCTTTGTTTCTTTAGCTACAAAATGAAGATAGCAGAATTTATCTTACAGGGGAGTAAAGTACTTAGAAAATATAATAAAGAAGCACTTAATAAATGTGAGCTGTTGACGTTACCTGTGCTGCAGCCCAAATGCAGTCAATATGCTGCGTACTCAGTCGTCCTTCTGCTGCCAAAAAATTCAGAATCACTTGGCACTGTTTGATAATCTAGAAAAGAAAAACTCATTATAGTTAATTTTTAAAAACATTCTTCTCTGTTAATATACCACAGAAGTCATATAACTGTCAACAAACCTCAATATGTAAATTTGGTCCAAATATATGCTCTACCACATTGTTGCTTATAAGCCAATCTGCAAGTTCTTTTGCAATGGACCTAAAGTCAAATAATAAAAATAGTTAATACATTTTAAAAAATCAGTATCATTCTTCCCCATGTCTAAAAGACAGACTCAGCTAAAAACCTAAATTTGTTCACATACAAATTATAAAGAAGTTATTACATACAATCAACTGTTTATAGTACTACAGAGAATAACTGAAATAAAACACAAGAAAAGGTAACATTATCTGAACTTATAAATAAGCAATACAATTCTGGAAAGTTAGGATAACTAATATGAGGTACAGAGACAAGAATATCTAAAAAGCAATGTTTTTTTCTTACTCAAAGATCATGCCTTTTAATTTCCATAGTACGCATTGAAGCATTCAGGGAAGGTTTCTCCATTTCTGATGTAATCTTACCATAAAGGTAAGCCCCAAAAGGTGGGGGGGAATAATCTCCAAGCCAAACTGCAAGTCTCCTGCCTAACACTAATGAAGGTTCTGCTAATGTGGTCCCTAAAGATGTCAACTGACAGTTCTGAACACTCAGTTACATTTAGCAATATCTCACCCTTCATTTCAAAGGCTAAATTTTCTATTTTTGAACAGTTTTGATTATCCTTCATTTTAAAAAAGTGCTATCAATTCTCTTTTAGAGTAATAAATAATTGGCAGAGAAGTTAAACTATTACATTACCAATAAGGTAGTATGAATTTACCAGTTAGTCTTTTACAGCTTTGAGCTATGCATGAAATTTAAGAAGCTGAACATATTTAAGGTCTACAGTTTGCTGAATTTAAGCTTAAGTATACACATATGAATGTCAGCACCATCAAGATAACAAACACACACATCAACCTAGAAAGTTTCATTATGCCCCTTAGTTCACCTTTTCCCTAGCTCCCACAACTCACTGCTCAGAAAATCAGTAATCTGCTTTCTGTTGTTATAGGTGAGTTTTATTTCATATAATTTTATGTTTAAAAATAGACAACAGTATATAATCTTTTTATAATCTAGATTCTTTCACTCAGTATTAAGATTTATCCATTTTGTTTCATTTATCGATAGTTCCACCAGTGATGAATTTGAGTTTCTGTTGCTTCACATCCTGGTCAGCATTTGATTGTATCAGTGTTCCGGATTTTAACCATCCTAACAGATGTGTTGTGGAATCTTATTGTTGTTTTGATTTGCAATTTCCCTGATGAAAGAAGAGCAACTTTCAATGTGTTCATTTGCCATTTGTATATCTTCTTCGGTGAGATGTCTGTTAAAGTCAGCGTATTTTTAAATTAGGTTGCTCATTTTCTTACTGTTAAATTTTTAAGAGTTTTTATATTTTGAATAACAGTCCTGTATCAGATGTGTCTTTTGCAAATACTTTTTCCTGTCTATGGCTTGTCTTCTCATTCTCTTGACACTGCCTTTCATAGAGTATAAGTTTTTAATTTTAAAGAAGTCCAGCTTATCAATTTATGGACCATGGTGTTGCATCCAAAAAAGGTCATCACCATACCCAAGGTCATCAGGTTTTCTCCTATGTTACTTTTTAGGAGTTTTATTGCTTTGTTATTTCATGTTTAGGTGTGTGATCCATTTTGAATTAATTTTTGTGAAGAATGTGAGATCTGTGTCTAGATGATATAGTTTTGCATTTGGTTGTCCAACTGTTTCAGTGCCATTTGTTGAAAAGCCTATCTTTGCTATACTGTACTGCCTTTACTCCTCTGTCAAAGATCAGTTGATTATATTCATGTGGGCCTATTTCTGAGCACTCTATTCTGTTCAATTGATCTATTTGTCTATACTTTCACCAATACCATACTGTCTTGATTACTAGAAATTCATGGTAGTCTTGAAGATGGGTAATATCAATCTACCAACTTTGTTTTTTCCTTTCAATATTGTGCTGATTATTCTGGGTCTTTTGCTCTCTATATAAGAAAATGTTATAATTAGTTTCTTGATATCCAGAAAATAACTTACCAGGATTTTAACTGAGATGCACTAAATCTATAGATCAAGTTAGAAAGAACTGACAATCTTTACAATTTTAAGTCCTCCTACCCACTGACATGGAATCTCTCTCCATTTATTTAGTTCTTGTTTGCTATCTTTCATCAGTTTTGAAATTTTCCTGATAATCTTCATATTTTGTTAGACTTACCTGAGTATTTCATTTTTTGTGGCGCTAATGTGTAAATGGTGTTGTATCTTAAATTTCCAATTTCCACTTGTTCCACAGGAAAATGATTGACTTTTGATTATTAACTTTGTATCCTACAATCCTGCTATAAATACCCATTAGTTTAACAAGTTTGTCAGTTCTTTCAGATTTTCTACATAGATCATCATGACCTGCGATCAAAGGCAGTTCTACTTCCTTCTTCCCAATCGATACACTTTTTATTTCCTTTTCTTGTCTTACCACATTAGGAAGGATTTCCAATAAAATGATGAAAATCAGTGTTGAGAGGGGACACCCTTTCCTTGTTCCTGATCTTAGCAGAAAACCTCTGAACTTTACATCTGTAAGTATGATGTTAGCCGTAGGGTTTTTGTAGATGTTCTCAAGGAAGTTCCCTTCTATGCCTAGTTTACTGAGAATTTGATTTTGTCAATTTTTCTGCATCTATTCATATGATCATGTTACTATTCTTCAGCCTGTTGATATGATGGATTACATTAGTTGATTTTGAAATGCTGAACCAGCCTTGCAGTCCTGAGATATATCTCACTTGGTTATAGGGTATAACTCTTTTTACACATTGTTGGATTTGATTTGCTAGTATTTTATGACAATTCAACAACTAAAAATAATGCTAACCAATAAACCCCATTCTTTCAGTCTCTTAAAGGACATTAAAAGGAGACCCAGGGACTTTCATAATAGCTGAGAACTGTAACTGTAACTGACCAAGCATAAAATCGGACAACACTGACAATAATAACCATTCAGGACTCTAGAAATATACATATACTGGGACTCCCAGGAGGAATTGGAGCAGGAAAAAAATTTGAAGAAACAATAGCCAAACATACCAAATTTAATGAAAAATGTTCATCTACACATTCAAGAATCACAACAAACTCTAACTAGGATAAACACAAGAATATACACACCCAGACACATAGTCAAACTGCTAAAAGCCAAAGAATGACAGAAAAACCTTAAAAACAGTGAGGAAAAAAGAAGTAAGAGCATACAAAGGAAACACAATAGATTAGCGATTAAGTCTTATCAAAAACAAAGGCATAGAGCTATACTATAGCAATGTTCCTGTATTTTACTAGAATTGTTATCAATTTGAAGTAGACAGTAATAAATTAAGATGCCTATTTTAACCCACAAAGTAATCACTAACAAAATAATTTTTTAAATGTAAAAAAATAAATCAGTGCAATTAAAATGGTATACAGTCAGCCCTCTGTATCCATGGGTTCTGCATTCACAGATGCAACCAACAGAGGATCAAAAATACTTATTTTTTAAATTCCATAAAGTTCCAAAGGGCATAACTTGAATTTGCCACATGCTGGCAACTATTTACATAACACCTACATTGTATAAGGTATTATAAATAATCAAAAGATGATTTATGGTATGGTATATGGGAAGATGTGTACAGCTTATATGCAAACATTACATCATTTTATGTAAGGGACTTGAGCATCTGCAGATTCTGGCATCCACAGGGTGTCCTGGAACCAATCCCCCACATATATCAAATGGCAACTATACTACCATATATCTACATACTGCAAAATAAGGCAGTAAAGGAGAAATACAAAAAATATTTTTAAAAAGAAAACATAAAAAACTAATAGCAAAAAGGCAGAAATAAACCCAACTATATATAAAAAATTTAAAAGTGAATGTATTAAATAATCAAGAGATGGTAGGACTAGATTCTTTTTTTTAATCCAACCATATGCTGCCTCCAAGACATACTTTAGATCCAAAACACAAACAGGTTGAAAGTAAGAAGATAAAAAAAGATATACCATTAAAAACAGTAGGCATTATAAAGCTGCAGTGGCTATACTAATGACAAACAAAACAGATTTAAGGTAAAAAAAAAAAAGTTTTAAAGAGACAAACAGGGACAATATTTTATAATGACTAAAGGATGAAACTACCAGGAACCTAACAACAATTAACATGCACCTACCTAACAAACTGTTCTAAAATACATGAAGCAAAAACCAACAAAATCAAAGGGAGAAAAAGAAATAATACAGCCCATTCTTGTTACTCTGGGAAGTTATATTCTATAAAGTCACTGCACTGAGTTAGCTAATACTAAATCCTTGAACCTCTTTTAAATTACCATCACCTACTGCTTCAAAGGGTAAAAACAGTATGTCATTAGCATCAAGTGCATCCTAGAGTGGGTTCTTGAAAGAGTAAGTCACTGCAACAATGTGACTTGCTGCTTGCCTTTGAAGACGACAGAGGGTTTAATTATATGCAAATTTTTTATGGTAACTTTAGATACACAATCTGTTCTACAACCCTTTTGCAGAACTCCTTTAAAGATAGATGTTTCAGAAAACAAAGGTTTGTTCTGAAGTTCCCACTTCAGTCAGGGCAATGCAAGGAAGGCTTTTCCCCTTAAGTAAAAATGCCATTTAGACCACATCATCATCCTTTCCCCTACGCTGTTTCCTCTGATAAAAGAGACATGGCTCTCATTTGGATATTACAGTGATCTCTCAACATTGCTTTCTTTTATTTGATCCTCGTTTTATAAAAACTTTTTTTTATAATTGACATACAATTGACATAACATTACATTAGTTTCAAGTGTACAACATAATAATTCAATATTTGTATATATTGCTAAATGATCACCACAGTAAGTCTAGTTAACGTACATCACCATACACAGTTAAAAATTTTTCCTTTGTGATGAGGACTTTTAAGATCTATTCTCTCAGCAACTTTCAAATATGCAATAAAATATTATTAACTATAGTCACCATGCTGCACATTACATCCTCATGACTTATTTTATAACTGGGAATGTGTATCTTTTGACCTCCTTCATTTGTTCTGCCTTCCCCCCAACCTCCCGCCTCTGACAACCACCAGTCTATTCTATCTATGAGTTCAGTTTTTTTTGTTTGTTTTTAAAGTTCATATATAAATGAGATCATATGGTATTTGTATTTCCCTGACTTATTTCATTTAGCATAATGCCCTCAGGGTCCTTCCATGTTGTCATAAATGGCACAATTTCATTCATTTTTTATGCCCGAATAGTATTCCACTGTATACATATACACCACAGAATTGAAGGGACAATTCTTGTTATTCATAGCAGCTGTATTCCATAAAACCATTGCACTGAATTAACTCATACTGAACCCCTGAATCTTAAAATCTAAAAATAACTTTAGATTCCAGTTTCTCTATCTTACAAAAGAGAAAATAAGGTTCGGAAGTGTTTAGGTGACTTGTCTGAGGCTGCTCCAATAACAGGTGCTAGAGCTGGGATTCATATCCCTCCAACTGGCCCAGACCAAGAGCTTGCACTACACTGTATTGCCTCCTACTACTTCCATTCCCTGGTCATCTCGGAACCAGTGCTAAAACAAGAACACAGAGTATCACCTTGTTTGACTTCAGTTGGGAATCTGCATGTTGGGAGGCTCAAATTTTTAACTGCTCTGTGCATTTCTGCCAATGGCTATGAGAGTGCCGCAAGTATTGATTTGGGGGCTACAAATAAATTGCAGCAAATGCACAAATTCACAGACTCCACAAAATGAGGATCAACTGAAGCTGGAGACTTCAATACCCTGCTTTTAATGATGGAACAGAACATGTAAGCAGAAAATAAACAAGGATATAGGTGACAGACAGTAGTAAAAACTCATTACACCTAAAAGACATCTATAGACCACTCCATTCAACAACAGCTAAATAAAAGGTCTTCAAAAGCACACATAGACATTCTGCAGTAGAGATTATATGCTAGTCCACAGAACAAGACGAATAACCCAACTAAAAACTGGGCCAAAAAATTAACAAATAATTTACCAAAGAAGAAACAGAATGGAAAATAACCTTATAAAATGTCCAGCATCACTAGCAATTAGGCAAATGCACATTAAAACCATAATGAAATACCATAGTAAAAAGAAAAAGTGCTGGAGATCCTGAGGAGAAACTGGAACCCTCATACATTGCTACTGAGAATGTAAAATGATGCAGGAACACTGGAAAACATTTTGACAGTTTCTTTAAAAGTTAAACATAAAATGACCATACAAACCAGTAATCACACTCCTCTTTATCTACCAAGAGAAATGAAAACATATGTCCACAAAAAGATTTGTACATAAATGTTAAAAGCAGCATTATTCATACTAACCAAAAAGGGGAAACAATCGAATATACCCATCAACTGGTAAAAGGATTAACAAAATGTGACATAGCTGCATAATGTGATACTATTCAGCAATAAAAAGGAATGAAGTACTGAGTTCACACCACAACATGAATGAACCTCAAGAAAAACAGTATAAGTAAAAGGCAACAATTGAAAAAGACCACTATCATATGACTCCATTTATAGGAAATGCCCAAAATAGGCAAATCTAGAGAGAGAAAGAAGATTAGCGGCATTGGGAGTAAGGATGTCGACTGACTACAAATGAGCAAAAGAGACCTTTCTGAAGTGATGTCAATTTCTGAAACTGAATTGATGATAGCTGTACAACTCTATAAATTTACTAAAATTCATTATAAAAACAGGTGAATTTTTGTGTATAGAATCTATACCTTAATAAAACTTACTTAAAAAGAGACCCAATTCACAGGCTCCAACAGTATTTATCATACTTTATGTATTTGCTCCAATCTTTTCACACTGTACAGACCCTTCTCTTTCCAACTTCAGCTGTCTTTACCCACTATTCCTCAAAACTTTTACTCTCCTCCCTCTTAAGCATGTCTTTAGAATGTATAAATCCCTACACATTTTAAAATGGAATTCCTACTTTCTATGCTCAGCAATGTAAAGACTTAGCCTGGACATGTGGGGTTCCTGCACTGATGATTCCAGAAACTTTTTTTGTCTTTTTGCAGGGATGAGAAGTCACTACTCCTTGACAATTTTTAAGATTCTCTTAGAGGCAGTCTAAAGGAGTGGGAAGGGAGGCACTGAGGAGTAAAAAGGGAAATTTAGAGCTGTAGCTTTACATACACTGGATATACTCTATATAGTGTCTTCACTGTGTGAAACAGCACCCCTAGTATAACCCAGAATTTACAAAGCTACTACCAATTCTGGGCAGCACATTTTAAGGGGACCACAAACAAAGAACATTGCCATAAGTGAGTAACTTGTCTGGTGAGAAATCTAAAAGACTTCATATGTGAAGAAAAAGTAAAGAGACATAGTAACTGGTATTCAAATTCATGAAGGGTTGGGTTCAACTGAGATTAGCTCCACAGAGCAAAACTAAGATCAATGCACAAAAGTTCCAGTAAAGCAAAATATGACTCATTCATATAATTATGAATTTTCTAACACCTTAAAACCATGTAACTAAGAGGGGAGGGTATAGCTCAGTGGCAGAGAACATGCTTAGCATGCATGAGGTCCTGGGTTCAATCCCCAGTACCTTCATTAAAATAAATAAACCTAGTTGCCCCCCACCAAAAATAAATTTTAAAAGATTTTTAAATGTATAACTCTGTTTAAGCAGAAAATATTAATACCAAATTGAGATTTTAAAACTGATTTCTATACTGGATGAACAACTAAATGGGATAAGTATTGGAATAAATAAATATTTTAAGTACTCAAAGGCTCTAAGCTACAAAAACTACTTCTTTTCTTACAAGAGCATCATTAAGCTGGTTTTTCCACCCAAAAAAATGTATCGAATGAAATCTTTTTCTGCATCAAGTGTGATTTCTGAAAACTATCAGTACCATATTCTTTACTATTAAATTCTCCTGTACAAATAGTATCCTTTTGCGTTGTGTGACAAATAGCACTATATGCTTTTAAAAAGGAGAAATGCTTCAATATATTATTCTGAAGGTTTACGAAAGAGTGTACAAATGAAGCCACCAGGCAAAGAATTTCTAGTAAACACTTCAAATTTAACAGTCACAATTATAATTACCACACAAACAGATAAACATTAAAACAGTGTACTTATGTATAAATTAATGCTCCTACTTACGTTTCTGTGTCTGATACCAATGATTCATTATTGCACACATCATTGAAGGTGTGAAGTTGATTCTATAATTAGAAGAAATTAAACATTTTTACAAAATTACTCCTGTGTATGTTAGCAACTGCCAAGAAACATGATTGATATATGTAGACTATGATCAACAACTAGATCAAAAGCATAAGATGGATAATCAGATACATATACTTCCAGTTAGCCTGGCTATTTCCTTTATCATTTTTAAGCACTAATTCATTCCACAAGTAATACTTAGGCTTTACTCCACTACGAATGCTAGAGAAAAAACTGAACAAGGGAAAATCCAAAAAATCTAATGCAAGGCAGCAAGTTAATATGTCAATTATTACAGATATAAAATTTCAAGAAAGGTTTCTCAGACATACACATTTAAGATCTGATTTGGGAAATTGTCATCAAGTGTTTTATACGTTTACAAAGTCCAATAATGGGTAAAATCTAGCTACTTCAGAATAACTACACTACAAAAATAGGCAACAAACATAAAGGAGTAAATCTAATGCAGACTTTGGTAAACCAGAGAAAGCATATCCATTCTAAAGAATGCAGCTAACTACTTAACTCCAGCAAACTGTTGTCACACAAGAATACAGACTCAAAGATATCAGATCTTTCTTCTCACCCTGTCCTTCCAAGAGAAACCAATAATACATATTTCTCCCTGTTTAAAACAGTATTGGCTATTGTGCAAATCAAACATTTCTGTTAGTCAAATCTGGCCTCTGATTCAATAATCTATGGCTTCTGCCTGGAAAATGAATTAACTACTTAAGAGTCGGTAATTTTTTTCGCTCTGAAAACACTGCTTTCTAAATGTAAAAAACTGAATTGTTAAGAAAGAAAAAACAGTGAAAGAGTTGAACCCTCAAATCAAAAAGATCTAAGGTATATATCCTTCTAAATCTAAGCCTTTGTCTCCTCCTATTTAAATAGGAGAAAAGAGAAAATATAGAAATTATTCGTAAGGACCATACTAAGTAATGCATGTAAAATACTTAGCACAATGCCTAGCAATAACATATGTGGCTCCATAAATAGTAGGTATGATAATGATGATGACAGTCTGAGAAAGCAAATAAAAAATTACCAAAAATAAAGCAAATATAGCTTACCGTGATCTGACTTAGTCCAGCCAACCTCATAGTCAAAGTAGGTGACATAAAGTACTTAAATGCAAGATCTAGGCTTTCTTTATCAAAGCATAACGTTGTGTCCAATGGTTCTTTCACTGTGCTCCACATTAAATCAGCCATGTTGCGAGCTGCACTCTGTCTTAACTCTTGATCAGAGAGCTTGCATAAATACCTGAAATGATTCAGAAATAAAATACATGCAAAAACTTGCAAAATGTTTCTGAAGACCACTCAATAATTCAATAATATTCCTTTGCTCCATATCTCCAAAATGTTTAGTACAGTAAAACTTGGCATCATGGGATTAATATTCCCAATTTAAACTATTTCTAAATGATGCTTTAAGGATTGTGACCTGTGGCAGTGTGTCCTTTGCTGAGAGTCCAACTTGAACCAGGAACTGTAAGAACCGATTTATTTAACATTGGATTTTGCATCTCCAGTAAAGCTTTACTATTCTCTAATACTTGTCATGTATACAGCTTCTGTTTTAGTAAGTTTCAGCCCACTTTATATATAAACAGTACATGTATTCCCCTACACAGCCAAAATTCTTCAGAATGTGTACATTTTAAACATTATTCTTCTTTTAGCTTCCAAAAATCACAAACCACTGGTTTTCCTCTCAGGCCCTTTCAACTCTATTTGGTTGACAACTCCTCTACCCAACCTTTCAACATTAGTGCTCCTCAGGGCTTATAATAGATTGCAAAAAGGCCCAAAACTCCTCCCATCACTTTATATAAGAGCCACTGCAATGTGACTTTGCCATTCTTCCCATCAAAGGTGTCATTTATTTCTCTACTCTCTTAAATCTAAGGTTTGCCATGGAACTTCCTTTGGCCAGTGGGATATTAGGAGATGTGACAAAAGCAGAAGCTTAAAAAGCCTTTGAGCTTGTCCTCTCTTGCTGGTAATTCTTCCACCACCAAAAAAATGATCCAGGACAGCATACTAGATGAAGGAGGTATGGCCAATGCCCCAGCCGACATCTAGCCAACTACAAGATGTATACGAGCATCCATCCCTACCCAAGACCAACCAGCCTGACAACCACAGGACGTATGAATGAGGCTATATATCCTAGAGCATGCAGGTCCAGCCAAGTCAGCCCAGATCAGAAGAACTAACCAACCAGAGAATTGTGAGAAATAATAAATGGCTGTTATTTTAATAAGTGGCTGTTGTTTTAGTTTTACATGTTGTTTACTTACACAGCAAAAGCAAACTGACACAGGGCTCCAACCTAGACTCATTTCTATTCTCTTTCTACATTCTATCCCTAGATGACCTCATTTACTCTCATGGCTTTTAAGTGCTATTTTTATGCTGACAACTCCTAAATTAATGTTATTGTTCTAAATTACAGGCTTATACTCCCAATTTGTTAGTGCCACTTAAATTTCCCAAAGGCATCTCAAAATTAAATCTTTATAAATGCTTACAGTCTTTCAAATCTCAGTTATCTATAGCACAAAAGAGAAATCAAGGGGAGGGGGATTAAGTGTCATCCACTATGTTACCCTTTTCCTTAACCTCCACAATCACCAATCTTGTTGATTTCATTTTCACACATATCCATTCAATTTTCAAAATCACTATAAACAATCTGTGTACAATTTACCATCATTTCTTTCCAGGACTACTGCTTAAATCTTTCAATTGGTCACCTAGCTTCTCCTCCAATCCCCCTGTAACTTATGATCCACTTAAATGCCAAAGTGATCATGATTCATCTGCTAAGATTAAATTCAAATTCCTTACAATAGCTTGAAGGCCCTGAAAAATCTGTCCCTGGCTTATGCAACTTCATATCATAAACACACCTGCTTATACACTATGCTCCACACCAGTCTGCTTCTAGTTTTTTAATATGTCGTATTATTTCCAACTTCAAAGCCTATGCCTTTATGTTCCTTCTACCTGAAATATACTTTCTTATCATCTGATTAGGTGATTCATGTTCTTCAGATGTCACCTTTCAGAAAGGCCTCATACTCCGTATCACCTTATCTTACTTGCACAGCATTCATCATTATCTGACTCTTTTCCTGAACTTTCTCCAACAATTCAAACAGTAATAGGAAAAAAGCAGGCACTCAAATCTTTGCAAATGAATGAATATAAAAATTATAAAGAATTCATAAATATTATCAAGAAATACAATCTGAGAACTCTCACAGTTTACACCCTAAGTCTAATCAATGCAGTTCTTTCTCTATCCTCTTCTTAGGTTTTCTTCTTAGGTTGGGACTTAAAAAACTCAAATGTCACCTCATCAACAAGACCTTCTCTATACCCAGACTCATAATTGTGACCCACCCTCTAGAACTGTCAACCCACCCTTGTTGCTATTTCTCTCGTAATACTCATCACTTTATAATTAACTGTATGATTTACATATTTTGTACACAGACTGCACAAAAGAATTTTTTCTTCTCTGCTATATCCTCAGTACCTACAACAGAATACTGAGTATATATTTGTTGAGTGAATAAATACAGTGAAATATGATGTAACCACTTTTTAATTTTTTATATACTCCTGTAAAAAAACTTCCAACATAAATTGCTTGAAAGTAAACATTAAATATAAACCTACATATGTGCATAAAATACTATGCATCAAATTATCAATTAAAATTTTCTCTGGAGGATGTGAATACAAGGGACTTCCAAACAATAAAATTCTGTACTATGCTATGAATTGTTTTAACATTATTACATTGATAACCAGGGAAAAGATTTTATAAAATTACCTGATAACATAGGTCCTAAAAGGGATAATGTGCTGCATGACAGCAGGGATATGTAGCCATATTCTAATCTATAACGAAACACAAAAAATGACATTAATGTATAATGAATACATAAAATATACATCTTTAATTAAAAATAAGAACATTTTGTATTTTGCTGCCTCTACAACTAAATGTATTTCATCTATTTTGAAAAGGATAAACTAAGAAGTACAACCACACATCTATCAGCTAAGTAATTTAAACTATATACATTTCTAATACATATACACAAAATTCAATCTGAAGAATAACTACTAGCTTCTCACTGAAAAGGGAAAATCATCTATCCAAGTAATATCATTTTAATGTTACTCTACACCTCTTTGTATTATAGCAACCCAAATACTGTAAAACTAAATGTTTTTTAATGAACCATCTTAGTTTTTTTTTTTAATTGAAGTATAATCAGTTTACAATGTGGTGTCAATTTCTGGTGTACAGCATGTTTCAGTCATACATACACATATGTATTCCTTTTCATATTCTTCATTATAGGTTACTACAAGGTATTAAATATAGTTCCCTGTGCTACAGAGTACAAACCTGTTTATCTATTTTATATATACTAATTAGCATCTGTCTAGAATTCCCAATTTATCCCTTCCCACCTCCATCCCCCCAATCATGAGTTTGTTTTCTATGTCTGTGAGTCTCTATTTTGTAAATAAGCTCATTTGTATCTTTTTTAGATCCACATATAAGTGATAACATATGGTATTTTTCTTTGTCTTTCTAGCTTACTTCACTAAGAATGAGAATCTCCAGATCCATCCATGTTGATGCAAACAGCATTATTTTATTCTTTTTATGGCTGAGTAGTATTCCATTATTTACACATACACACACGCGTGCACACACACAATTTCCTTATCTGGTTATCTGTCAATAGACATTTAGGTTGTTTCCATGTCTTGGCTATTGTAAATAATCCTGGTATGAACAATGGGGTTCATGTATCTTTTCGAATTAGAGTTCCCTCCAGATATATGCCCAGGAGTGGGATTGCTGGATCATATGGTAAGTCTATTTTTAGTCTTTTGAGGAATCTCCATACTGTTTTCCATAATGGCTGCACCAAACTACATCCCACCAACAGTGTAGGAGGGTTTTCTTCTCACCCTCTCCAACGTTTATTATTTGTGGACTTTTTAATGATGGTCATTCTGACTGGTGTGAGGTGATACCTCATTGTAGTTTTGATTTGCATTTCTCTGATAATTAGCGATACTGAGCATTTTTTTCATGTGCTTATTGGCCATTTGTATGTCTTCATTGGAGAATTACTTGTTTACATCCTCTGCCCATTTTTGGATTAGGCTGATTTTTTTTTTGCTATTAACTTGTATGAGCTGTTTGTACATTCTGGAAGCCCTTGTCAGTCACATCGTTTAAAATATTTTCTCCCATTCCATGGGTTGTCTTTTTGTTTATCATTTTCCTTACTACGCAAAAGCTTGTAAATTTAATTAGGTCCAATTTGTCTATTTTTGGTTTTACTTGTATTGCCTGGGTAGACTGCCCTAAAAAAACACTACTAAGATTCATGTCAGAGAATGTTTTGTCTATGTTTTCTTCTCGGAGGTTTGTAGTGTCTTGCCCTATGTTTAAGTCTTCAAGCCATTCTGAGTTCATTCTTGTGAATGGTGTGAGGAAGTATTCTATATTCATAGATTTACATGCAGCCGTCCAGCTTTCCCAATACCATCTGCTAAAGAGACTGTCTTTTCTCCATTGTATGTTTTTGCCTCCTTTGTTGAGGATTAATTGACCGTAGGTGTGTGGGTTTATTTCTGGGCTCTGTATTCTGTTTCATTGATTTGTATGTCTGTTTTTGTGCCAATACCACACTGTTTTGATTACTGTAGCTTTATAGTATTAAGCCTGGGAGGGTTATGCCTCTAGCTTTGTTATTTTACCTTAGGGTTGCTTTGGCAATTCTGGGTCTTCTGTGATTCCATATAAATTTTAGGATTATTTGTTCTAGTTCTGTGAAAACTCTCCTGAATAATTTGATAGAGATTACACTAAATCTGTAGATTGTTTTGGGTAGTATGACCATTTTAACAATATTAATTCTTCCAATCCAAGAGCATGGGTTATCTTTTCATTTCTTTAAATCATCTTTAATTTCCTTCATTAATGTTTTATAGTTCTTAGCATATAAGTCTATCACCTCCTTGGACAGGTTTATTCCTAAATATTTTTTTGATGAGAAAAATATCAAATACTTCACATATCTGCATGTCATCCTTGCACAGGGACCATGCTAATCTTTCTGTGTCGTTTCAATTTTAGTATATGTGCTGCCGAAGTAAAAGTTCTCACCATAAGGGAAAAAAAAACTTGTTAACTATGAAAGGTGTCAGATGTTAATTAGATTTTCTGTTTCAATCATTTTGCAATATATACAAATACTGAAAAACTAATGTTATATGTCAATTACACCTTAATAAATTTAAAAAAGAATGACACATAGGTAGAACTTACTTTACCAGATATTGAGAATCTTATAAAGCTGAAGAAATTAAGATGATAGGCAAATAGCATAAGACTTATCAAACAGACTAAATGGAATATACTAGAACTCCCAGAACCATGCACATAAAGACATTTGATCTATGACAAAACAGAAAGGGGAAAGGACTGAATTTGCTACAGTGATAGGACCAGTGGTTTTCTATATGGAAAAGAAATATGTCCTTTTTCTTTCCTCACTATAAGTTTTGAGCTTCTACAGTTTGCTTTTTCCCCTCTCCTGGTAATAAGAGAATTCTAGTAGCCCTTCTAAGTACATATTAAAAATTTCAGGAATCAAAAAACGTTCTATGCTCCCTCATAACTGCAGAAATGCAGACAATGCTCTGCACCATAAAGCTAGTTTTAACAAAATTACAAAATGAAAACTTAATAGAATTGTCAACAAATTTCTCCTGTCTGGTGTGGAAATACATATTCCCATCCTAACTGGATATTAAATAGTCCTTGTTAGTATTTTTGTAAAAGCAATCTTAGGATACAGAGTTCAGAAATTGTTATTATGCTCTCTGATGTGTTACTGCAAGTTTGCATCTCTGATTACACCTCTTACTAATTTGTCATATCTGTTTTCTAAAGCACATATTCATGAGGTTTCTTTATTAAGGCTCACTTGTACTTTTCCATTCATGCTAATTAAATAAATCCCATGACTCTTCCATTCTTTACTCAAAATCCTTAGGCTTTAATTATTTTAAAATTAATAAAAGGTGTTATGTCTGAGATGACTAACTCAAGCAAAGAGTTGAAGGCTGAGGCAGGATACTATGAGCTAAAACCAAAGATAACTCACCATGCATCTCAGTGGAGAAACTTTTATGAGAACTCTGCATTCTATTTTATTTCTCTAACCTGTACTGAACATTGGTTAACTGCTTTTGCTAAAAACTAAAAGCCAATACAAACCAAGAAAACTACATAAAGATTTTTGCTATTTTTTCTTTCCTGTGGATACAGCCATTACTACTAAGAACAGATCCTTATAATAGCGGAGTAATGTTTGTGCAAAACTGAGCAATCTCCTAACAGTCAGTGTTAGTTTAGCAATGCTAAAGCAAACTTTTGAGACTGAAATAAATGCATGAGCTTAAGATTATTATCAGATGTGAACCTTAATCTGATGAAGTGAGAGTTTTCTTTCTTTATTGATAATTCAGGTAAAGTGAGTTTTCCCATGCTGCAACCTAAGGTTCTAGGATATAACACTCCCCACCTGATAAAGTCACCTTTCCTCATTAAGAGTGAGGGAACCACCCTAGAAAACAAACAAAATGGTTTGGTTCCCAGGAAATTATATAAACATGTTTTCTTCTGAAGGTATCATTTACTATAATCAATTGTGGAAGAAACATGTACTCAATAAGGTAAGTCCCCAACTATCTTACCATAAGAGTGGTTTATAATTCATGGAGTTTTTGCTTTTCAAGGAAAGAATTGTCCAAAAATCCAATAAATTTTTTCATTATTTAAATATATCAATTTTTGGTTCCTTTGTGAAAGCCCATGAAAAACCAGATTCCTAAATAAGGGAACTTCAGCCTTACTGAAGCTGAAGTAACATGACTAAACAAGCTGCTATTTCTCAAGAAAAGAAATGAGACATATAGAAACGACCAGGGTTTATAATGTACAATGACCCACTAGAAGAAACCACAAATGTTCTAGGATTAATTGTATGTGACTAGAAAATTCTGAAATTTAAAGGCCCTAACATTTCTCAAAATGCAAAGGGATGTCTCTATCAACTGTTTAAAGTGACCAGGAAGTATTTATATAAACTTCAGACAGGATGATCAAAACTCTAGCAAAGGTCACAAATTATGCCAAAACTCCTAATGCTTTAAATGTCACCAATCCTTTACAAAAAACTCCAGACTCAGGGTGGGAGTGGGCGAACAGTGTGCAGAAACCTTAATCACTAAAAGAAGTGCTCTTTTTTGCACCAAAGTATTAGCTATATTTAAAAAATTACAATAAAAGAGGGCCAAATCAAAAAATATTTTTTATGAAGAAAAGGTGCCAAATGAGTTACTCAATAGAGTTATAAAACCTTTGGTTAAAAAGTACGTATGTTATAGTCTCAGAAAAAAATAAACATAGATTATAGTATCTAAACAATTACATTATTAATTTAAACAGCATGATTAATTTTAACTTTAGTTTAATGGTCTCAGTTGAGTTACAAGATAGTTATGCTAAATGACAACAGTCCACCAATTAGCAGTCAT